AACCCGTACAACCGATCACCCGCGGTGTCCGCGCGCCATTAACGCGCGGCCTCGCCTCTCGCCTCGGAATCGAAAATTTACGCGGTCCGCGCGGTTTCCTACGATCGAGCGTGAAACTTATCGTCTCGGCTTACTGGCGATTAATAAGCTAATTAATTAAGCCAAGATATTAACTTATTGTACCTATATGTAAAACGGCTAATTTGGGAAACAAACTCGTACTTTGCGTGTATAGAAATGGCTCTCGTAAAATACGAATTTAAAGAGATACATCGTTTAAAGAGATAAGATCTTTAATTCGATGAAATCTTCTATATATAAATGTAAGTATTAATTAATTATACATCTGTAATTATGCGCGCCTGTGCACGGGGCACGTACTTTCCGGATATATACTGGCGGGCATTCTCATTATCGGATATCTACGTGATTGCCGATAAGAGCCATTGGGAGTCCAATAATCTCGCGCCACTCGCGAAGCCGAGATTTCTCTCTCTCTCTCTCTTTCTCTCTCTCTCTTGGCGGTGACCTAATCGACTTATCTAAATTAATGTAAATCGTCATTTTGTCAGCGGGTACAATCTGTAACGGCCGAACGACGCGCCCGGGGCGGGAGAGAGAGAGAGAGGGTGTGGATCATAAAGTCGCAATGTTCTTAATAGGGAAGCAGATAAGATCACCTTTCCCCCCGCGACGACTCGCTCGCCGCTCGGCGCGGATTCACGAGTGACACGCCGGACGGGCGTGTTTTTTTTTCCTAGGACATTACGTTTCTTCCCCGGGCTATAAATCGAGCGATAACGTCACCGGAATTGAAGGCAAACATTCCGTTGGCACGCACTCGCCATTACAATCGGAGGATAGTTATGCGTAGTCGACGATTTATCAATTTGCTCGCGCCTTGAGATTCGAGGCTCGAAAGTCCAGCTGTTGGGAAAAAAATTCTCGTGAATTTATCTACGATGTCGTGATGACTACGTGAAAAAAAATTTGACACATATTTCGCACATCGTTTGACAAAGCCATATATACCTATACATATATACTTATAGTATCGCGATTTTCAAGATTGTCGCGACACCTGGCCGCTAAAATTTGCGGAAAATTCAAAGTTTTCTTACGTCGTAAAACTCTCGGCGGAACGAGAATTGGAAATGTCGGCGTGAAGCGATTGATATAAATTAGCTGAATTATCATGGTCGCCCGACCAGTTTCTTTGATGTATACTGCACGAGCCCCGCGCTTGTTTTCACAAAGTTATATTAATGTTATGAGAAATCGTGTGATTAAACGTAATCTCGCGGGTAAGATTGTCCAATCTGGTTTCAGATAGCGTAAAGAAAACGGGGCTTTGGAAGTAGGAAGTATCCCGGGCACGTCGGGTTCTCTCACAAATCGCGTGTATGGAGCTAATAGCCGTTTCATGACGAATCGGCGCGGGGCGACGCGCGAGCAAAGTGGTCGCGCCACTTCAAATAGACCCGGCGTGTAATTCATTCTGTATAAATAAACAGGGAATATTTTACATAATTGCGCGGGAAACTCGTTATCGCGGCCCGGGGTAATGATAGCCCCGGCAACTAGTCGCCATAATTTAGAACGCTAATAATTAGACCGATAATTACTAAACGCGCGGGCTCGCCCGAGCGCAAGATTTACCGGCGCTCCTGAACGATCTGTCGGCGACGACCAAAAAATGCATTTTAATATATCGTAACGACGTATCGATTAGCATGGCCGAAGGGGGAAACGGCGCGCGGAAAAAATCGCGAGATCCGCCCCGCAACCTGGAATTAGACGCATTTAATCGCCGCTCGTTAATTATGGAAACCCACGGCTACCCCGAGCAACTAGCGTGATGTTTCGCCAAGTTCCATAATTCCCGTGTATATCATTCCGAGGGGCAGTTCTCAATTAGTTCAGCTGAACATTGCGTGAATTCTGCAATGTTTATCATAAGGCGATTGCGTTTCGTTTTTATCTTACGTATCGTATAATTCCTATCTTTGCAGAATATTCTCTATGTGTCTACGAAAAGTTTTTGTAAAAAAAAAAAGTACGGATTTTTGTTATTATTCAATATTGTGTTCGATCAATTTTGTTAATCGAGAATCGCGTGTATATCGTCGCGATAACAACTTTCTCTTATCCTATCAACAAATTAAATGGGGCACGATTTGATGTCGTATTATCGCGCTGTATCATCACCGTATTAGGGCCTGATGAATTAATCGGCCAGCGAGAAATAGGTTAATAGAATCCCCGTCACGGTGTTGCCCGCAGCGGGCACCTTCCGCGCACCTCTTTCCCGCGCGCGGCGCGTACAGCCACGCACGTTGTTATTATTATTCATAAACCGGTCTATTCTCACCCTAATCGAAATCAGGACGCGCCATTAAATTCCGGGGGCCGCGCCCTTTAATCGTCGCCCGACAGCGTTACGGGTGCGATTTGTCATCCACGAAATTGAGTCGCATCTGCAGAGAGAAAGAGAGAGAGAGAGAGAGAGAGAGAGAGAGAGAGAGAGAGAGAGAGAGAGAGAGAGAAAGATGCGTCCGCGACGCTGCGCTTCCGACGATCCACACACACACACACACACACACACATACGACACGCGCAACACGCATACACATACATACACAGTGTGCGTGTGGGTGTGAAAGCTTGCGCACATGTTGAAATCCATGAAACGTTACTACGGGATTGCCTGCACATGGATTCGCGACTCTAATACCAGCGCAGGATCCTCCAGGGCGATATAATGCAACGCCGTCGAGTACATACGGGCCACGGACCATTAATATATGGCTGCTGGGGCTATTGTTGCGAATTAGGTGCCATTGAACGGTGCATTGTCGGTGACGCCGGGGGGTCTGACGGAGGATGCAACGTGCCCCGCGTACTACCAACCGCGTTTTGATAGACCCCGTAAGTGGACGATCCCCGCCCTCCCCCCCTTTTCGCTCGACGCGCACGAGTCGCTTTATGTCTGTCTGATACACTTCTCCGACGTTACGAAGTTAAAGCTCGGAATGACTGAGAGAGATTAATTGAGCAGAAAAATTTTTGAAGCATCTGCTCGAAGAGATTTATATCTCGGTTAGCCTCTTTTTAGCTTTTCTCGCATGAAAATCCAATAGAAAATACGAAATTTAATATAAATAAAAGATATATATAATAACGTATAATAAAAAAGTATAATATATATTTTATAATGTAAATTCTAGACCCGCGTGTTTCATGTAACGTAAAATATTTTATTACATATGTTTTTATATGTTTACATATTTATAAATAAAATAAATATTTATATATAAAATTGATTTTATATGCATTTTTTACATATATTCATTTTATTATTATCCACGGTTATATCAAAAGTATTTTATTATATGTGTGATATAATATATAAAACATACATAATAAAGAGCATATTTAATTTTTCTGTAGAAACATCCGTTTGAACAATACATAAAAATCTCAATTCTTTCTTTAATAAATACACACATTTTAATTAATATACACGAAGCTCCAAAACATCAATTCTCGAAATTATATATATCATATTAATTAGGTCTGTTTTTTACAGCTGAACTGGCTACACAAGTTCAGAGTTTATCTTTCTTTTTCCAATGTAGAAAGGGAAAGATAAACTGTGATCTAGTGTAGCTGTTCGGCTATAAAAAACAAGCTTAATAACATTTCTGATGTAAATATTCAGTGATCGCCGTGATTGGAGAGGTTGGAGTCATACGTTAAATCTTATACCTGGTTCGTAATTGCACTTTTGTTGCATTCTGGCGAGAAAATAGAAAGATGCGGACCTCGAGCGACTTGGAGCAGATGGGGAGATGTTTAGTATTTTATTCTTTGAAAACAGAAGAGGTATAATAAGTTCAGCTTTGCGGAGTTCGCGGTGGCAAAATCTTACGGTAGTTGAGTACAGTGGTGACTGGGCGACTGGCGACTGGCGTCGGTGGCAAAACTACGAGGTTATACGAAGTGACATCGAGGCGCCATCAGACGGGATACGCGTGAACTTTGACGTAGTCGCGAATGATCGAGATCAGATCATTTATACAGATAACAGTATAAACGGAGGTGGACTGATTCGAATTTAGCGAAGTATTCATGATGAATTTTAGGTAGAAACTTATACGAATTAGAAAATTAATTAGAAAATTAATTAAAAAATTAATTAGTCTTCTTATTCAATTTTAACGGCGAGATGTGTACATACATATCTGGTACAGTAAAATTGCACCCTCGTTGCGTTCTGGCGAAACAGTAACTCGTGGCATTCGAAAGATGCGGACCGCGAGTTGTTTGAACGACTTGTGCAAGCAGAGATCAGCGCGATTGATAATATGGTATCAAAATCGCGTTATTGACGTATATATATGACTGGCGCTTTATTATTTACATTATAATATGTATATTATATTACTATAAATTTTCAGTACTGACAGTAAACATTAGAATACATTCTTAAAAATGAAGTAGTAAATTTAATTTAATTCTATACAAAAGTAAGTAATCTGAAGAAAAACTTGTTCTATATACAGATTAATTTAAAGAATTTTAAGTTTCAATATTTATTTTAATATTTATTATTACTTTTAATAATGATTATTAAACAATATAAATTTGAAATTTAATTAAACTTATTTTAATATTACAAAAATATAACAAATCGTTACTTGAAAAGTAGTAGGTGACGGTAACGTGTTATTTTTTTTTTAATTAATAACGATCAGTTATTTTTCTCAAAAAATAACGGTAACGGTTTTATTCTTTTAAGGTAATGTTTCCAACTATGGTTTAAACTAAGTCAATAGGTCGAACTCGACGTTCACCATTGCGAAATTACAATCAGTTATTATCGGAGCTAATAATTAAATGATAGTCCGCATTATCTGAATCATTTGCAGGCTTTTTTTAGAAAGAATTATTTTATCCTTCACATATTTGCATAAAAAGTTTCACTGCCTTATTGTCTAGGCAGTCTTATTGTGCTAGGCATTAAGTTCTTACGTATATCAGGTTGGTTTTAAAATTTTTTTATACAATTTAGAATTTACAACAATGAGTGAAAATTCTTTATCCAACATTAATTTAAAGAAAAAATTACAAACATCAATTTTTAACTATTGTATATACATTGCATTAAAAACATTATAACAACAGAAACTTCATATAATTCTAATATCATTTTAAGGTAACAATTACATAAAATAGATCGGAAGAGCACACGTCT